TCAGTCTAGTCGGCATACCTCGATCGCATAGAAATCCTGATGCACTCTTCCACTTCATCCACCCTGTTCTGATTCTATGGGATACATCTCCATCTAACTCACCGTCCTTCTGAATTATGGAGCCCAAATAACGGAACATATCGCTGACTGGTATCTCCTTACCATCTAAAGTAATTCCGCTATTACCACTGCTTCTACCTCCACCAAACTTGCACTCCATGTACTCTGTCTTGCTCCTACTTAGTCTGAAACCCTTGTTCTCCAATGTCTGTCGCCATACTTCCAACTTTGCTTTAACCCCTGATTGCGTCTCATCAATCAATACAATATCGTCGGCAAACATCATGCACCACGGTATATCGTCTTGAATTGACTTTGTAAGTTCATCCATGACTATGGCAAATAAAAAAGGGCTAAGAGCCGATCCTTGGTGCACTCCGATAGTAATAGGGAACTCCGCAGTCCTCCCTACACTAGTACGGACACTTGTAGTACAATCCTCATACATATCCATGATGATGCTGATATACTTGCGTGAAATGCCTTTTCTAGTTAAGGCCCACCAAAGAACTTCTCGAGGTACCCTATCATATGCCTTTTCTAGGTCAATGAACACTAAATGCAAATCCTTGTGAGCGTCTCTATACTTCTCCATAAGTTGCCGAAGAAGGTGAATAGCCTCAGTTGTTAAGCGACCAGGCATAAAACCAAATTGATTCTCTGAGATCTTCACCGTTCTTCGAAGTCTTTGCTCAATCAATCGCTCCCAAAGTTTCATGGTATGACTCATAAGTTTAATCCCCCGATAGTTGGCACATTCTTGTACATCACCTTTATTCTTAAATAAGGGAATAAAAGTACTCTTTCTCCAACTCGTTGGCATCTTGTTGTTTCTCCAAATTTTGTTGAAGAAATTTGTTAACCACCCAATGCCTCTCTCTCCCAAACTTCTCCAAGCCTCGATCGGTATGCCATCTGGACCCACTGCTTTCTTCCGCCCCATCTTCCTCAAAGCCTCTTTAACTTCCGTTGGTTGGATCCTTCTCACAAAATCACGATTTACCATACAATCTGGTATGGTCAAATCATCGATATCTTGCACTTTGTTCCCGTTGAACAATGTATCAAAGTATGATCTCCACCTCTCTTTTATCTCTCCGTCCTCCATTAATATCCTTTGATCAACATCCTTCACACACTTAACTTTTCCGATATCTTGAGTCCTGCGATCACGAAGACGAGCAAGTCTATAGATCTCTTGTTCTCCTTCCTTAGAGTCCAATTTTTCATACAACTCCTTGTTCACTTTCCCTTGTGCTTCTTTTACGGCTTTCTTTGCTTGTCTTCTAGCCTCCTTGTAAGCTTCTATGTTCTCATCACTCCGACTTATTCCCAACTTTTTGTAGCAATCTCTTTTGTTCCTTATGGCTTGTTTCACCTCATCATTCCACCAAGACGTGTCCTTTTTGGGTGGCAAACATCCTTTAGATTCCCCAAGTACCTCCTTTGTCACTTTGTTAATGGTCAGCTCCATCGATAACCATGCATCCTCCACCTGTGTTCCATTATCAATACGCCATACATCTTCACCGAACATTTTGTGTGTAAAGCTTTGTTGAAGATCCCCCTCAAGCCTCCACCACTTTATCTTTGGCTCCACTTGTTGCTTAACTTGTCTTCTATGGTTCTTACCTCGAAAGTCGAGCACAAGCATCCTATGCTGAGTGACAACACTCTCACCTGGGATAACCTTACAATCGGTGTAGCTAGTTCTCCAAGTAGTACGTACTAAGAAGTAGTCAATTTGGGTACTATTAGCTCCACTTCTATAGGTTACAAGGTGAGAGTCTCTTTTCCTAAACCAAGTGTTCATTATAGCCACTCATACGTTGAGGCAAAATCCAAAATGTTCTTTCCCGCTTCATTTCTAGTGCCAAAACCATGTCCGCCATGAATACTCTCAAAGCCATCACGAATCGAGCCCACATGCCCGTTGAGGTCGCCTCCTATGACCAACTTCTCTCCTCTTGGCACTCGTCGCACCACATCTTCAAGATCTTCCCAGAACTGTTGAGTTGTAGATGCATCCAATCCCACTTGTGGTGCATAGGCACTTACCACAGACACAATCTCACCCCTCATCACCAATTTAATGCTCATGATGCGATCGCTCTTCCTGAAGACTTCTACCACATCCTCAACATAATCACGTGCCACAATAATGCCTACCCCATTCCTGGTCTTATCTCTCCCCGAATACCACAACTTAAAACCTCCGGGATTAATCTCACGTGCTTTCTCTCCAACCCATTTAGTTTCTTGTACACACATAATGCCGATATTCCTCCTCCTCATAACTTCGACTACCTCGGAAGATCTGCCTGTAAGAGACCCAACATTCCACGTCCCAAAGCGCAATCTAGCACTCCACCTTCTGTTCTTAGCCCCGCCTCGGACCCCACCACGCCCTTGCATATTTGACATCATCCTCGGGCAATGGGATGACGCGCCGCTTCCGGGCGACGACCTAGCAACCTTAACATTCTTATCACCACACCCAGGCCTATGAAGTGTAGCGCGCCCTTGCATATTTGACACCACCCCCAGGCGGAGGGATGACGCGTCGCTTACGGGCGACGACCTAGCTATAGCGATATTCATATTTCGATTCATGTCATGTGATGTGACTATGTAATACTGTTGGCCGTCACGCGCCTACCACAGCACCCTCCTCCTTTATCCTGGCTTGGGACAGGCATGAAACCAAACACAAAATTTGAGAACAAAATCAAGGCACTATGTGGTAATATTTCACTTAAGAGTAAAGTAAAACTTAAAATGAATCAATAAATGATTAAGATTTATCTAAATTAACTGGCTCCATATCAGTATTGCTTATAAGATCAGATATGATGGGTATAGAGAAATCATGTGGTTTGAGTTGATTATCTAATTTAAAAGCCTATAGACTGCATTTGTTTTAGTTTGAATGCAAAACATACTAATTGCAATTAGAATATAAGAAGTCTTGACAAACTTTTAACCAACAACATTACCCTATTTATGCATAAAGTTGGAGCCCGGTGCAAGTCAGATGAGCTGTGCAATATAAACTTAGAGCCCGTTTAGTAGCACGAAAATCGGCTGTTTTGGCTGCATTGGCTGATTATGCTGATTTAAGGAAAAAATGTTTTTAAAATACATTTTATTAATAAAATAAAGAAAAACTTATATGTAAAAATAGCTATAATAGTCATCTACAGTAACTTCAGCCAATACAGCCAGAAAAGTAACTTCAACCTTACTTTTTCTGCTTATTACACAATTCAGCACACGAAAGCAAAAGTTACGTGTTTGGTGAAAAAGTTGGTTGATAATCCCGATAAGCCGAAAAACAGTGTTGCCAAACGGCCTCTTAATGCACTAGCTGGGTTAGACCACCAAACCTCTTTATAAGTTAGAGAATGTAACATTCCTTGCCCATGAATCTCCATTTAATTTAGGTGTTTCACCAATTCTGGTGACATGAGCCTCACAAAACAATTGAACACACAGAAAGAATAAGAAGAGCAATGAGACATACATATTTTACTTTTCTCATTAAGTGAAATGAGACAACAACAAGAAGAGAAAATGCAGAAGAGCAAAGACTCCAAACTCTTCTTCTTCGTCTGTAAACAATTTTTTGCAAAAGCTTGTCTCAATTATTTTCAGTAAAATGCAGGGATACTGAGCGTAAGAGTTCTATAGGTTGCTGACCATTGGTTGACCGGAATGACAAATAGTTTAATTTTACTGTTTTTTTCAAAGAAACAGGGTAAGACTGTAGTGTTAGGATGTTTTTATTTGGACTGTAATTTGCCCCAGACCAGACCAGACCAGACCAGTCCAGTCCAGACCAGACCAGACCAGTTCAGACCAGACCAGACCAGACCAGACTTGGATAGTTATAAAAATACAAAGAAACCAGACCTTACCAGACCAGACCAGACCAGTTCAGACCAGATCAGATCAGACCAGACCAGACCAGCAAATTACAGTCCAAGTAAAAACATCCTTACTTAATACAACACATGGAGTTTGGGAACAACCCATCAATTTCCTAAAAATAATCTCAAAAGCAACTTTGCAATACCAGATCAAGGGATGAAACACTTACCGTTTATTGCTGAATAATCTCAATCTGGAATCTTAATTCGTTGAAAAACCTTTCGGCCATGAGTGGAATTGAACAATCGGCCATAGGAAAAAAAAAGTGTTCTTGCAAATTCAACCACAAAAAATAAAGAGAACAAATGGGATCGATGAAAAACTGATAATAATAAATTTTAAGAAAACTAAAGCGGGAATCAAAACCTGAATTTTAAGCCAGAAATGGAGAATGAAGTTGATTCCGTACATTTCAACCCGACTGGATTCCGATGAGCGAAGATGGGTCTAGAAAATGATCTCAGATTCTTTTAGTCTGTCGATATGAATTGATCCGTGGCTATGAAGATTATGTCCACTATAAGATTACTTGTTTTCTTCCTTCGTGCTTGAAGCGGTGTGACGGGCAGGTTTAGACGTTTTGCTTTAGATTAGAGCAGTTTTTTCAATTCACTTTCATTTTAAAAAATCGAAGCTGACTTGGAAATGATTACCAATGAGTTTCTGACGTCTGGCAAATGCACCAAAGCATTCAACAATGTGAAGGCACCGTAAAATTTTCCTATATTTATAGCCTCAATTCTACTGCTAGGGTTAGAAACTATAAAAAAAAAACTTTACAGAGGGGAAATACACACAGGGATGCGGTAAGATGTTTCTTGAATGGCAGAAGATGACGAATCCTATTTAATGTTTCTTGGACTGAAGTAGGACTGCAGTCTGGTTCTCTGCAATGGTTCATGTGCACCATTGATCTGGTCTGTTGATTAATCCTTCTTGACCTGCTGTCCTGATAAGTTTGTGTCCCACACTCTGCATTTCAACTCTTTTATTTTTGCTTCATGAATAGGCTAGACTTTAATTCTCCTGAAGCATTCTTTTTCTCTTATTATGTTTTGCCGCATTTGTTCTTCTTCTCTTCTTGCTTGTTACTTGATGAATTCTAACAATAACTATGCTTTTGAATATCATAAATGCCAAAAGGACTATTGAAATTGGAGTCTTCACTGGATACTCTTTGCTCCTCACAGCTCTATCCATTCCTGATGATGGCAAGGCAAGTGCTTTGTTTGTTTCCAGTTTTCTGTTTTGTCTTTTCGAATTATCATTGCTCAATACATTAATAACACCGCCTTGTTTTCATAACTGCGCAGATTATAGCTATTGATCACAACCGAGGAACGTATGAAATTGGACTACCTGTCATCAAAAGAGCAGGAGTTGAGCACAAAATCAATTTTATCGAGTCTGATGCTTTGCCCGTTGAGCCATTCATACTGATAACAGTTCTAGACAAATGGTGACTGCAAAGTCATTAGATTTAGTACAAAGTGAAAATACCATCAAAGTTACTGCACTCAAAAGTCATATTCCCATCCATTATGATTATTTTAGTCATACTTTGTCTCTATTTCTTGGTAAAAGTATAAAGATACAAATTTACACATAAGACATCAGCTAGTTTTATTTAACCGATTGCAGGAGAGTAACATAGAGAGCCTTGACTTTGGTTATGTTGATGCTGACAAAGTGAATTACCCCAAGTATCATGAAAGGCTTTTGAGGTTAATAAAGGTTGGTGGGATCATAGTATATGATAACACACTTCGGGGAGGCTCTGTTGCAATGCCAGAACACTCTGTTCCGGAGGGAGCGAAACCTGCCCGCCTTTATGCAATTGAGTTTAACACATTACTGGCCTCTGATGATCGTATTCAAATTTCTCATGTCCCCCCTGGGTGATGGAATTACTATATGTTATCGTCTGAAATGAGCGGTGAACGGGGTTATAGGTTGTTCTATGTGTTTAAAGTTCATATAAATCTGCAGACATACATATTGATACATAGCTGGCTTTTTCATGATCCTTCGGTTACATACATGTCACATGTACTCCTTTGACAGGGCCGTTTTTTAGCATGTTCATTAGGTTCGACGGAACAGGGCCTCACTTTGCATGGGGCCCCAATATTTATATGAAGCTACTAGTAGTATTTTTAGGTCATTAATATTAACTAATTATATAATGTAATAGTGTATACTATCGTATATGAATATGGGCTGCAGCCTGCAGCTAAACTCACACTGCACTACTCCATATAATAATGCCCTCATAAATTAAAATCATTTACAAAAAAATGTTGAAATTAATTATTTGAAAGGAAAGTTACAACATGTAATTCTTTAATTACGTTATTTAATGAGTATTCAATTGATTTGAGTATAATAAGAATTTACATCGAGTATATTTTGTAGCTTTTTATATTAACGTGGGGCCTCAAATTTGTATTTTGAACACGGGCCTCCAAGTTCATTAGACGGCCCTGTCCTTTGATATGTTTACTTATGCCATATACTTGTGGGATGTGGCTAATGAATACATATTTATGGGTATTTTTTAGTACAGGAAAAGTAATAAATAGAGAATAAAATTTAAATTCTACGAAAGAAATATAAGCAAGAATTCTAAATCTCGTATATCAGTAAGATTATAGAATAAAAGTTTGTTCTTTTTATTATTGAAGGCATAAGCAAAATTCTTTCGATGTTATGATTTCGTATATTGAATTATTTTCATGTATGAATTCCGATTTTGTGATTCAATAGGAAATTTAATATGGTTTCTAAATATGAATATTTTAACTGTTAATTTGAATCGAGTACTATAGACTATTGGCAAAGAGTATATTGTAACTTAATCACAGTATAAACAGTAACCCAAGAAGAAAACAAGTACAAGTACATGAAAATAGTTGAGGAAAGAAAGCAATATAGTCAAAACAGTCCAAAAACGCATATAACTATCACAAGATTAGAACAGGAATTATTAGCTTAATACTCCGTACATTTTTAGCTATGATTAAATTCACTAAATATATCTAATTACTCTTGTTTTCAAAGACAGAGAAACCCAATGCTCATATTTTTTTCTCAGTTATGCTTTACCAACATTTCTGTGCAGTGTGCACCAAGCATGTCATTGTTTAACTTGGATTAGTTTTGCGTTAATTTTTTTACAGAAGAATATTTATGCGTTAGGATTGGCTTTCCCTCATTCGTGTGCACCAAACATGTCATTATTGCTCATTTGGCAAATAAAATTGCAAGCAAGATGGTACTCTAACTTTTTTTGTACTTCAGTAGCCATAAATCATTGAAAACGAGAACAAAAAAGGTGCATGGTTCATAACTTCATATCACTGGGCCTCTCCATGGATGTGTAGACGAAGTGCATAGTAGAGATTATTACATCACTCAATCATTTAGAAAACTTTCATTTCTGGCTATTACGTTCTTGGCTAAAGAGGTCGATTTTTCAGACATAGTAACCAGTGAAAGTAAAGCCTCTTCCAACAATCTCCCCGGCACAAAACCATGCAAAGCACTCGATGCCAAACAATGCAGCAATCCCAGCATCCTCAACTTTCAATTCCTTCCGCTGCTTCCATAAATTCTTGACACCATCAAGCTCCTTCCAAAATGCCTCATAACGACCTGGAATACTGAAGATATATGGGATGCTAAGGTTTAGCCATTGTTATTAGCAAGCAGGAAGTGGAATACATTTTAATCTTGCCATACAGAAATATGTCTTTCGGTTTTTATTTGGGAAAACTGTCAATATGGTCCTCATACTTTCATGAAAAAGTGAATTAGGTCCTCATACTTTTAAAAAGATCAATTAAATCCCTGAACTTTGTAAAAACGCTCGATTGAGTCCATTTGCAAGTTGCTTGCAGCAGGTCACCCGCTAACGTGGCACACACATGGCGGTCCACGTGTGCGCCACGTCATTAGCAAATGCTGATTGGACTTCCACATGTGTGCCACATAAGCAAAATTATTGCTGACTGGGCTGCCACATGTGTGCCACATCAGCGGGTGATTTACTGACATGGCAAGTAACCTATAAATGGACTCAATTGAACGCTTTTACAAAGTTCGGGGATTTGATTGATTTTATTTAAAGTACGATAACCTAATTGACTTTTTCATGAAAGTACGAGGACCAAATTGACAGTTTTCCCTTTTAATTTCAAACAAAATTCTGGACCCTATTTAATACTCCCTTCATCCTCCTATCATTGTCCCACTTTTCCATTTTTGGATGTCCCACTTTTCCATTTTTGGATGTCCCCCTATTATTGTCTCATACCATATTTGGTAACCTTTGTGTGGCTCTAAGCCTCTAATTCATTCTTGCTTTATTCTCACTTTATTAATTCATTATCAACCATATAAATTTACTTTTCTAAAAAATCACACCACTTCCTTCCGTCCCAATAATAGAGGGACGGAGGGAGTACTACGTAGCATAGAGAGAGACAGTACAATAAAGGTTAAGATGTTGAAGTGGCTGAGTGGATGACAGCTGATTCTGCTCAACTGTCTCCACAAAATCTAAATAGATACTCCCTCCATAACATTCATATCTTCCCACTTTCCTTTTTCGGACGTAACATTTATATCTTCCCATTTCTAAATCTTCCCATCATACCCTCAATAATTTAAAAAATAATACACTACTACACCTACTTTTTTTGGATTTATCCTTCATTCCATCACATTATTTCACCATCTTCCCATCATACCCTCAATAATTCATACTCCATTTCACTATTCTTAATCTCACCCACTTTGGAAGTGGGAAGATATATGTGATAGGGAGGGAGTATTTCAAAGCAACCAAGGAAAGTAAAATGGTGTATCTAAACATAAAGCTAAAAGCATCGAACTCATCATGACATCAGAAACAAATATACCCTTGAAAATATGCTAGAGAACATGTATACCTCTCATTTTTTCAGAAAAAAACTGAAAAAATATAAAGTTGGAACAAAAATACCCTTGATATAATACTACATACTGTATTACATAACTATCTAACCCTCAACTATTGGACATAAAGGCATACTTGTTCCCTCGTTCTAATTTTTTAAATCTATATGTCCCAGAAACTTTAAGAGTAAATTTGTTCTCTGACATATAAGCAGGGGTTTGTGTGCTCATTCTCTTGTTCATCAATTACAGATCATTTCAGATGGCTGATAAGCATAAAAGTAATGCCTACCAAATGGGTTCTTGAAAGGAAGAGAAGGCATATGGCCAGTGGTTTGCAAACAGTCAAAAGAAAAAAATACCACTACAACATTGAGATGTGCTCTAAAATTTCAACACATCATATATAGAATCTTGAACACTGAGTAACTATTTATAGATTTCAACAAAATAAGTCGTCCACATACAGTTGAAGCAAATAAATGGGAAGTAATAACACTACTAAGACTAACCTGGCAAGACGAGTATAAAACAATTTCTTTGATAACTCATCACACTTTTCCATAGTAGGTGGCTCCACGATATACTGCTTGTTACTTTCAAGTGTCTGTTTGTAGATGGAAGAAGTATTCTTGGTGAGATACTGTGTAACTTGGCATGCCTTTGATGAAATTTGCTGAAGCTTGGATGCCATCACTTCTGAAAATGTCCTTCAAGTGCAAACACACACAAGTTAATACATAACAAAGCTTAACCGCTTAAATTAAGTATATCTGGCAACAAATTAAAACTAAAATGGCATTGATATTTAATTGGTAATAATCCTAGATCAAACTCAATCTAACTATACATGATGTATAGCTGAAAGCCTGAAGAAACGGTTCTAAATCGAATGACACTTACACACTCAGTCCCCATTTGGAGACACTGCATTTATGCTAATTAGCAAGATCTCATTCTGCTCATCTATACTGAATAGCAGGGACAGAGCTAGATCAAAAGGCAGAAAATTGCACCAAATAACAGAACAATGTAACCAGTTAAAAAAACAAATCGCAGAAGCACAAGTTGACCACAGTATAAGCACGAATCCATATCAGATATGAATTTAAGTACATGACTTTAACGGGAAGGGAAATGGACCGAAGCAGTGATTATACAATCGACAATAAAAACGCAAAATCAGAAAAATGAATGAGAGGATGCAGAACGAACCTCGACAAAAACTCTAAGCTTGATCTATTTACTGCTAATAAAAATGAAAGCAATTTAGAATTTAAAAAAATATACGATTCGAAAAAATAAGGAAATAGATAGTAATCAAACAACCAACCTCAAGTTACACGAAAGGCGTGCAGGACACTGCGTCCGTCCTGAGCTGGAGACGAGGAGAGGGAGAGAGATTGAGTTGTGTTTGGGCGTTGGCCTGGATGGTGAGGGATGAGCCGGGTGAGAGAGCTAGGTTTGCTTCCATTGGGCCGAATTATATGGCCCAAACTTAAGATCTAAGATGGGCTGTCCACATTTAGAAGCTGTTCTATTCGTCTTAATCTTATTACTTATTGCTTATTCTTATTTTATTCAGATCAGATCAGAATCATTCAGATCAGATCAGAAAGATTCAGATCAGATCAAAAACATTCAGATCAGATCAGGAACATTCAGATCTGATCAGAAACATTCAGATCAGATCAGGAACATTCAGATCAGGTCAGAAAAGTTCAGACATGATTTATCCTTTTTATTATAATAATAACAATTATAATAATATTTATAATAATTATAATATTTATAATTATTATTCTTGTTGTTGTTATTGTAATTATTATAATTAATATTATTAATACTATTATTATTATTATTGTTATTACTATGATTACTATGATTATTATTATTATGATATTTATTATTATCATGATTATTATTAGTCTTACTACTAATATGGTTGTTGTTGTTATTGTTATTAGTTTTGTTTTCGTTATTATCATATTATACGGAGTAATTACAATTAAAATTATAGAAATAAATACTATAATTATAATTAAAATTATAATTATAGAAATAAATATAACTATAAATATAATTACAATTATAATTATAGCTATATTTATAACTAGTGTAATACGTATAATAATAATTATACCTATTATAATTATGTTTGTAATTATAATTAAAAAATTTATAATTATGATTATACTTATAATTATATTTAAATTATATGTGTGTAATCACATTTATAATTATAGTAATTATAATTGTAATTATAATTTTAGAAATATTCAAATCAGATCAGATCAGAAAGATTCAGATCAGATCAGAAGGATTCAGATCAGATCAGAAACATTCAGATCAGATCAGGAACATTCAGATCAGATCAGGAACATTCAGATCAGATCAGGAACATTCGGATCAGATCTGAAAGATTCAGATCAGATCAGATCAGATCGGAAAAATTCAGATCAGATCAAATCAGAACTTAAAAAATTCAGATCAGAAACATTCAGATCAGGTGAAGAAAACAGCTTCTTACTTTCAAAAAAAATCTAAATATTAAGCAAAAGGAATCAGTACATTTAGGATATTCTTATTTAAATCGAGGAAAACTGTCAACTTGGTCCTCATATTTCTATGAAAAAGTCAATTAGGTTCTCATACTTATAAAAATCAATGAAATCCTTGAACTTTGTAAAAACGTTCAATTGAGTACATTTGCAGGTTACTTGTCATGTCAGCGGGTCACCCGCTGACATGGCGCACACATGACGGTTAAATAATTGCAACGGTCAACATTTCACATTTGTCAATGCACAACTTTAACCTTTAATATATATAACTCTCTATTAGTAAAATAATTAAAAAATAAAATTTTGGAAATTTACAATGAGACAAATTTAACAATTTTTTAAATTGATTGTTAATAAATAAAACATATTCAATGTAGAAAATGTGAATAAAGTAAATTTCAACGTGTTGCACTTATTTAAGGACGGATTTAGTAGGAAATTAACAAATAATGCTCAAAGTTAAATATAAAAATCATACCATGAAATAGGTGTGATATGAGTATATCCACAAATAATGTCAAGGAAAACTACAATTTATTATAAACTTCTTATCTTTACAAAATTATAAGAGGGAATGAGGGTAATGTTAATGTAGGTATGAATAATGTTTTGATGTAACCACATGTAATGTGAACTTGTACGTTGCACCACTATGATTGAAGGTTTAATTATCCAATTCTTACAAGCTGAAAGCATCCCTAACTTTCCGTTAACTTTAAAATCTAATTTGCCCAACTTTTGTCATTCATCTTCTAAGCCAATTGTTATATTTTATGCTAGTGTTTTTTTATAAAAGTGACTGTGATGCGGTTCTCTGTGTTGTCGAATTAATTTGAATGATTTGATTTGGTTTAGTACAAAAGATCAAAATCAAGTGATCTCACTATTGTGAAGAAATGTCGTAATTTGTTTGATTTGTTTGATTTGGTCCAAATTCTCAAGAAATGTCGTAACATCACTTGTACCATGAAATTAACCCACAAGCTATCGACTTTGTATAGTTCCAATTTCATGGTAATCTTGTGATGCTCTATATAATCACCATTTTGCTTATCTTTTAATATCTTACTGCTATTGTATCGCTAGACAGCCAACAACTATTTCGTTAGGAGTTGTTTGTTCATTACCTCCCTTGCGTATGTTTTAAATTTTTGGGATAATGGTCATGGTAACGTTCATACTCCTCGTGATACGATGTTTTATTAATAGGTATCTTCAACATAGAAATTCATATTTTTGACAAACCAATAAAAAAAATTCACATAGATCACTTGGGCACTAACCCGATCGCGCAACACCATAGCAGCGCTAGTTATACAATGTTTGACACATATTTGGTGGGTTGTGCGTCTTCATCACATATCACAAATTTCAACACAAATGGACTTGTTACTTTTGACCCCCAAGTACAACTCTTCATGCGTAAAAATAAGCCGACGATGGAAGATGACACATATTTAAAGCAAACATTTTTACAAGATCTATAGACCATATTAGTATTGGAATTTAGAAACTTACAGAGTATTTATTATAGGAGACAATTGTGATATTGATAAGTCCGTTTTCCAACACACTTTAATGTGTGGAGAAAGTCATTTGTTTGCATCTCTAGCGTAACTTTTGCATTCTTTTGCTAAGATTTCATTGATTATGTTTTATGAGGGTATCAACATGTTTTCTCTTGGACTGTTTTCAATCTCAAACCAGAGGAGATCAGATCAGACTAGTTTTAAACAGACCAAACTATACTAGACTTAAACAGACCAGGTGAGACTGGACAATTATAAAATACACAGAGACCAAACATGTACCAGACCAGACCGGACTTAAACATACAACACCAGATCAGGCTAGCAAATTATAGTCCAAAAGAAGACAATTTAGTGCTTTTGGAAGGACATTTATCAGGTTTAAGATTAAAAGCATCTCAAGATTGCATCTTGAGATAGAGAAGAAAAGTTAGAGCCCGGAAATGGCAATCTGAACCACCGCCCAACTCGCAATCACGAATCAGGATGACGCTCTATCAATCGTCTGAGCATATATTTTTGTAAACAAATGTAAACGAAACAATCCCAGTTTCGCCACGCGTTATTGAATTATAGCCCGCCTTCTACCTCTCTAGGAAATTGCCATTTGTTTAGTTAAAGATGGAATCTCAAACAGAGCACATTATGAGATGCATATGATAATTCCTGGATCCCTCTTAATATATTATCTCGTGTTTTTGCAATTGTACATTTTTTTTCCTAAATAGATAGGAAAGATTATACATAACAAAAATAAAAAATGGACATATTTGTTGGAACTTTGCATCGTCTATCATACTTTCAAACAACCCTAAGTAGATATATCTGCAGCCCAATGGTGTGTATAAAGCAATAAATAGATATAGTCATAGTGTATTATGGTATGAGGCGATAACACCTGGTTAGAAACTTAATTGCAAGATAGGAGAAGAGCATATACACTAAAAATCTATTTATACTTTAAATACATGAAATTTATTGCAATATCTTATAGGTAAAATAACAAAATAAAAATGTACAAAGCAAGGATATAGTAAAGATAGAGGGAATTTATCAACCAAAACTTTTGTCGTTTCAATCAATACATGAATCCAAACTTAAAGTATATAGGAAAATATCTAGACCAAGGATTAATCAATATTCCATACAAAATAATTTTTAGGGAATCTATGAAACCAATACTAAGGGGGTGTTTGGATCCGATTCTTAAAATTGTTTCTGCTCCTTCAAGGAACAGAAGCAGAAGTTGGAGTGTTTGGGTGAAAGTGTAGAAGTGATTCTGGTGCTCTCTAATTTACTCCTAGAATCGTTTTTTTAGAAGTTGGGGGAGACCAGCTTCTGAAAACTGATTCTAACTCTGCTTATGCTTTAAAAAGAAACAAAAGTAGAATCGGTTCCAAACACCCTCAATTCGTAATTATTGAAGGGTAATGGCAGTAAATTCATTTTATATAACATACTATAGTTATTATACCCATTAAATAAATTTCTTAAATTTCACAATAAAACGTTAAACAAGAACTATTTTAGGATTTGTGAAGTCTAGAGATTTCAGAGAAGAATGAAGACAGCGAATGACTGGTATTTGTCTTCAAATTATTATCACATTTGAATAGTTTGAAATAATATAAAAATGTAAAACATATAAGTAAATGCATCATCTTATAAACATATAATTATTCTGCTGGAAATGAACATATATAGATACTGCGTATATTAGTAAAACTGAACGCAATCTACCTCCCCTCTTCCCCTGAACCATATAAGCCCTTAATGTACATGAATAAATTAAACGCAATATGTACTTTGTATATATTGGGGGTAAATCATGGGAAAATAAGGGGATATGTGATGCTTCACAGGAAAGAATGCCTTATACTTCTGAATAGAACCATTGACTACTTCTGAACAATTGGGGGTAAGACATATCAATTTTCGAACAAAAGAATGATTGATACACGTAACCATCGATATATTACTATATACAAACTGGAGTGGAAAATTAGATCATTTTCCCGGCCAAACTCTTGGCAAAACCGTGTCAGATCGGGTCACTTCCCCAGATTGAAGGGTTTCACTGCAAGACTGGCCGGCTTTAATCTTCCGGTTGCGTGATGTAATCTTTTAAATAAGAGCTGCAGTACCAGAATATCCTAAAAAGATCTTATATCAATCAATATATGAATCAATCGCTTTATCCGTAGGATAAAAGGTCTTCCCTATCCAATTTTTATTGAACCGGGTGCCATGCTTGGCTTTCTTGGATGTTGCACTGTTGATTTATAATAAGAGACAACAACGGGTCTTCTCAAAAAACAGAAATTAGGTCCTTCAATCTAAGCTCCAAATGGGTCCTAATGACTTTCTTA